TTTTAATCATTCGTACGTATACCTATACTTACCCTGCCCCCAAGAGTTATTATAGTTTATTTTCCTCGAACTATAGGTGCGGAGCAAAACTCCTGCCCAAAAGTAAATATATAAAGCTGAACTTGATTAACTTTTCGGTTTACCCGTGATATACCATCGGTTCATCTTGTGTGCCCACAATAGTTGGAGGCAAATCTCATAGGGGTACGAATTCGCTCGCTCACCCACTCGTTGTTTTGCCCGAAAACTCCACGAGAGAAACAAGTGCTAATTAAATCGAAACGCCAGCTCTTTGACGGGAAGTCTATACGTGTATTATATATAGGAATGACGAGTGGGAGGGTACAAAGAGAGCAGCAGGAATCACCGGAAGCTGAAAGACCGGGGCAGTGATTGCTCGTTTCAGAGGCCGGTTAACGTGAGAGTATATCCGAATTCCGTAGCCGAGGTATAATCAGGCATCGGAAGAAATAAGAAGAAATAGAGCCTATATGGATGAATTGTGCGCGAACCGGCGTGTATATAATCGCCCTCGAGTATAAGCGAAGTACATCGCGCCTGCCCCTCGTTTCCATCGGCACTTAATCCTCTTCCCATCCCTTTTGGATGGACGGATTTATTATTAAAAAAAGGGATTTTTACGTCTAATGGAAGTTTAAGCTCCGCTCTTTTGCGTGTAGCCTCAAATGGATCTCTCTCTGCCGATCGGACCCGCTACTGAATCTTCGATAATCAGGTGGGAAAAAAGAAAAATGTCAAAACAACGCCTAATTGAAGCGACCGATGTGTGTGCACCTGTGTACATTTGATCCTCGAAACGGGGAAATAATGAAAAGCAAACACCGAAAGGGACGCTTTGCAGGGGGCATCAACAATCGCGAGCGCAATGTTATTCCCCGCTCCCCGTGTATATATATATATATGTACGTTATTATAACCGGCACGCAGGTCGACCAACAGGATCACTGTTATACACGAGCGTGCAATCAGAGCAGCTTAGAGACGGAGGGAAGCTAGCTGCTTGCATGCCCGTGTATACCCATACACGATAGTTTGCCATTCGGCTCTGTCTAATTAACTGCGAACCGGCATCAATAGCCACCTCAGTATAGAAGACGAAGGAGAGACAAACGTACGTAGCTTTCGGGGGGAGACGGGCCGAATCATAATCATACAAAGAGCGTCTTTTGACATATATCCGATTCAGTACCTATACGTGTATAATTATATACTGCTGCCGCGGATCAATTTGTACCTCCCGTTTTCTCTCTTTCCATACATGTAACTATATATTATACACTTGGAAACTGTAGGTATCTTACATTCGTGCATCATATAATATGCGTGTTGCTGTAAGTATACCTCCTTCTCCGGCGAGCTGTAATACACAAGCTCGTTTGTTCCGTTCGCCACCGCGATTTCTTATCGCCGTTGCGTAGGTTGGTTTTGCAAATGCTGCGTGCGGTCGGGGTACATATAATGCCTATTACAGAGTGCAGTGCAGTATATTTATAATGTATATTATATAAGTGGATATAGGTACGGGGGCTCGGAGTGTAATAATGAGCAACGCGTTGATGGTGATGGCGTGAGTTATGGAAAACAAAAACAAAAGGGTTGATGCATCGTTAACGTCGCGGTATGAGCGAGAGAGAGATGGAGGCTTGATGATGATTTAGTGAGTTACAGTTTTTTCTTTTTTTTTTTTTTTCCAGCTCTCCGCGCCCCTTTTCGACCGCGAGGGTACATTACATTATTTATGTAACCATATGTATATATATTGTATACGCATAACGCCATTACTTCGCTATAAAGTTTACGATTTAATGAGCTTTTAATGAACAAATATTATTATATTCTGCTTCCATTGAGAGCCGCCTGTAAATATAACCATTCGAGCATGCGGCGTATGTTATATAAATCACCGTTTACGTATTATAATGTATACATTTTGAAGGATTACGTTTAAATGGTTGTTGAATGTACCCGTACAATATACATGTATTAATAATAAATTTCCAATATGCGCTATTGAGGATAATATAGTAATGTATACGCTACGCTCGCTAATATACGCCATACGTGTGCATATCACAATTTATTATGGATGATACGTTGATTTACGAATTTTTTCATTTTTTTATTTTTCCATCGGAATAATGTATTCGTCGCTTGTCCACGTGCCACCCGACATGATTAATTTGCTCTCAACGCCCACAATATCAGATGTCATGCGCCGCGAAAAGAGAACAAAGCGAGAGAGAGAGAGAGAGACAGAAAGAAAAAAAAAGAAAATCACACGCCCTTCGTTCTCGGCGAAATCCTATCGGGCCATTGTCTCTTTTCGTCGCGCGCTCCGCGAGTATAATTTTCTCTCCTTCGCGTGTTAATATACTTATATATACCGCCAAACTGTCGCGGCACGCGCTCACGCTTCATTACACAATCGATGTGGGCGGACGCGTGTACACATTATATGCATATGCACAGGACAGTCGGGCTGCAATTAACGCCGCGGGCGGTCTATCTCTGCTGCTGCATCTCTTCCTTCTTTCTTTCTTCTCCGCGTGTTGTATATGTATACCGACCTTGTGTCGTGCACAGTTTCCACGACTGTTGTAGCTCGGCTTCTCTTTGGTGCGCGCGCGCGTGTATGTACGTGATTTTCATCGGCAAGACTCGTCCGTGGATGTATATATACATGTGCCAACCCTCCGGAATTCCGTTTGTCCCATTACGAGAGAGCATTTATGTGCCTTATACTCCTGTAGGCATGTTGTCTTCTGTGTCATCTCGGAAAATGCAAAGGGACATTCCTTTTTTTTTTTTTTCTTTTTTTGGTTTGAAAGAAAAATTTGTTTCCTACTCGCGTCAGCGCGTACATTCGTTTCTTTTATTGCCAATCGAGCTATAGATGTAACCTTCATCCGTGTGTAAATCAATTTCCGTTGGTGGAATCTGCTCGTACCTATATATACGTATAGCTACGATGGAATTGCGTATATGTTTTTTGTGTCACTGTTTTGTCGATGCTCGTCTCATTTTTCAAGATTTCCCATGTGCAGTACAATAAAATTTGCTCGAGTGATCGCAGTCAGCGTTATTTTGAGACTTCTCCATTACGAATGGCTTACGTGAAATTTCCAGTTACTCCTTTCAATTTTTTTATTTTTTTTTTTTTTCCAGACAGATTTTTCAATCTTCGTTTGGGGAGGTCGTATTGTTTCATTTTCACGTTAAAAACAATTTTTTACTATCGTGCATTCGAAAAAAAAAGTAATCATTAACATTTTCTTTTTTACAATTTATTTCGAGGTCTTAAATAATTTGTAATTTAATTTTACACGTGCGTTATTCATTATATCGTCAATGTGCAATGAAAACATTGAATTACCCCTTCAGGCATTATATATTTATAACGTAACAACCGGTCGAGTAAGTTTTTTTCATTCCAATTAAGTTGCATGTCTCGCAACATTATTTTGCAATTATTGTAACATTCCACGAATTGAGCGTAATTAGATCAGAAACAATCTTTGCTTTCTTTTCATTCTAACTCTTAAAACAATATTCCTTAGCACGCAAAGTCTTGCTGCACAGATAAAATTAAAAAAAAAAAATCGATTCGTCCTGCTAGTATAAATTTTTCACAAACTCAACAGATAGCGTCCGGGTACACCTGCCGCATACAGATTCATCCGCAAAAGCGTCAAAGGCATTGTCCATTAACACTCGATTAAATTTTAATTCTCCCTCATACATACGTGCGAGTGCGGCCGACTTTACTTATTCGACGGCACCACCCGAGCGCGGCAGCTAAAATGTTTTCCGATTCGCTTCTTTTAACACGCTTGAAAAATCGAAGCGCGCGAAATTTCCAAACTAAATCAAACCCCGTTAACGAGGCGATTAAATAAAAATACGCTCATCCGATGCATCAGCTATGCAAATTAAAAATCCATACCTGCTTCACCAGCACGACCTGAAAAAAAAAGAGGAGGAGGAGGGTTAAATTAAAATTGAAAGAAAGAAATGGAGAAAAAAAAACTCTAAATTCGCTGAAAAGCTGCACGAATATCATATATACTGCAGGTATAGGCTCACGCCGCGTGTCATCGCGCGGGCGTGTATGGCTCTTTCATCTGGTAACTCGATCCGTAACCTTTCCCCCCTTCCTCTCCTCCTCGTCGTTTTTTACGGACTCCCCATATAGCTCGCGGAGCTCGTTACGCGCGCACGCGTTTTACGATAATAATTAACGAGCACCGACGCCACTGTATACTTATATNGCCGATCATCGATTGATTCTCGCCAATATATATATATGTATATGCGTATAAGAGGTCACCTTCGGTCGTTTTATTTTAGACCAGCAGAATGAGACAAACAGAGCCGTGTTGGTCAAAGCTCGCTTTTTCGCCGGACCTCGTGCTTGATAATTCAAAGCGATGCGTACGAAAATCGCCCTCTCGTTCATATACTAGGCCATCGAGTATCGGAAGATGCTGCCCGAGGAGGATCAATGGTCCACAATTGGATGTAACGAGTGTGTCCTGCATCGATTCCGTGCTTTTTTCGGAGCCGAAGAAAATATAGCATACAGTATACAGTATACGCCACAATTATCTCCTATCAACGCTGTTAGGTCGCTCTTGTATACATGTACTATAGTGTAAATAATGCATGTGCCATATTTGCTCGATTCGACTCGATGAGGATTCGATCGATCCGTCGAGGGTACGGTATTATAGTGTAACGTATTGTATATAATTACGTACATACTTAAGATTTAGTACGTCACCGATACTCTCAGCCGAATCATCATCATCGGTTGAACATTTTGACCATCTCCGTGTCATTTTTACCTTTGACAAATTCAATTCCCCACCCACGCTCCAACACATACACACACCAACACTTGCTCGATTTAGAATAAAAAAGGAAAGGCATCAAAGGAGTTTAAAGACTAACATTTTGGCATTGTTTGTCCGTTGTTGCAGTTACCAGTGGGCGGGGGCGGTGCCGTGCTGGTGCTCAGCGAACTTGAAAGCATGGCGGCCCGGCAGCAGCGGGAGATCGCCCAGCAGCGCCGACTCCTCGAGCAGCGCGAGGCCCGGCTAGCCGTGCTCCGGGGCGCTCAGGTGAGTTTTTTCGTAATATATACGCTCATGTACAACAACAACAATGATAATATCATAACACGTTGACTCTTTTTTACACCTCCTTTGTTGTTCAACGACTGCCGGTGTACACCATAGGTATGTTGTATCTATATATATTAGCAGCTTCCTCAACGAAACTGAGACTTGCGTTTCCGGCTCGGCTTACTGGCTTTGTAACCCCTTCCCCCTCCCCTTGGGCACTTGGCGGATGCTTTAGAAGCTGTAAATGACACTTTGTAGTCACCCCTGCCCCCTCACCTTCTCTTTCCCCGAGAGTAGCGCGTGCTTTGCTTCGTGTTGGTTTTTTTATTTTTATTTATTTTTTTTTTTGAAAAATTCATACTTTTGCATGTAAACTAATACATGAAAAATCTCGTATCCGTTGCTTTTTATTTTAGAAACAAATGGAATTTTCGTCGCGAGATTACAGGCTTGTGCGTTGACGTTTTTTTTTCACTGTCAATAATATACAGGAGATACTGTCACTCATGCAATCGCTAATTCAACTAGACATATATGTTCCTCTCTTGCGTACAAAATCATGGAATTGAAAAAATTGCGTAATTAAAATGTGTTAAAATAATTTTTTTTTTTTTTTCAGATACAGGAATATTAAATTTGTGGAAGAAAAAAATATCGTGCTTTCGAATAAATTTTAATAAAATACGAGATCGCGTATACTGAAAAACGGTACGATTTAATGTTTACGCAGCCAGTGTAGCAAATCATTTGAAACTTTTTTGACATCAAAAGAGTTACAAATGAACACTAATGAAACGATCGAGTAACCGATTCGATTTTATTTTATGAATGCCCTGGTAGAAACGTTATTACATAAACTGGCTAGAAACTCGTCAACATGTTATAAGCCCATTGACGCATGTACGTAGAAACGTTACTACATAAACTGGCTAGAAACTCGTCAACATGTTATAAGCCCATTTAAGTATGTACATTGACGAGTTTCTAGCCAGTTTATGTAGTAACGTTTCTACCAGGGTGCTTTTCTCGATACTAAATTTCACATTTTCAATACTAATATACACAGCTGCAGGCGCTTACGATAGTTTTTTTTTTTTAATTTTTTTTTCTTTCTATTTTTTCAACACACAATAAATAAATAAATAAATTAATGGTAGACACCAATAGATATAATAAACGAATAAAGTTTCGGTAAACAAACATCGTTTCAACCGGTACGTAATTAGTCAGCGATAAGTGGGCGGCAGAGAGAGATAAACGATGTGTAAAAGCAAAACAGCTTCTACGGGTTTTTAATTGACAATTTATTGCGACTAGAGAAAGTTACCGCGGTGGCCCATTGCACGCGAATCAGTTTGCTATAGAAATCGATATCAACTGCGCATACAGATTTACGATATCAATTACAATACGGTCGGGCTTGCGCACACGCCCAGTTTTAACTTAATGATTATCACGGCTTGAGAGCAAAAAAAGCAAAAACCGATAAGGCTCCGCCGTGCAGTATTTATAGACAGAGCCATGAATTAATAAAATTTACAAAGTAGCAAGTGAAAATTTTCATCCACTCCTGCGGTGTCAACCGGAGAAGTGGCTATACTTATGTAGCTGCGGGCGAACAATTCTTTTTTGCCGCGTTTTTATTACCTCCACCTCTCGACGCCAGACCGCTGCTTTATACACGCGTGCGAAAGTGAGCTAAATTTAGGCTCGATACTCATATTTTTGAGCAAACAAACGGGTTGGTATACTTTATCGAAACGTTATATATATTTTCTGTGGGTGGAGATAATATTTTCCATTAAATGCTCCGCCGTTGAATTATCATAGTACACTAGCTGACGCCCCTTCCTCTCCCACCTCTCATCGCGAGGTTGTTTTTTTTTTTTTTTTTTTTTTTGACTTATGGAATTTTCAGTTTTATTATTCATGAATCATGAAGTCACTAATTTGTATAATGAGAGGAAAAAATGTAGGTTTGACACTTGACACTTTTTTTTTGTTTCCGTCAAAGAAATTTCAATTGCTTATTAAATCCGACATTTAACACGAAAATTTTACGAATCGATGGTGAGTGCGCTTTGAAAAATGTTCGTATCGAATATGGCAAGTGCAAGCGCGCGTATGTGTGTCAAAATTAACGAGCGCGGGGTTTCCTTGGCATGTACCTACTTGAGAACTTTTTTCATCGCTTTGCCGCCGCTGCTCAACGTGGCGATTTACATTTGACCCTGTTTTTTTTTTCTCCCGCCCGTAGGCATTTGAAAGCTTTCGAGACTTGGGTTTCCTCAGCCTTTGAGATCACATGTACCTACTATATTTCTATTACATTTTCGAAATTTGCGTCAAAACACACCCTGTCTTTTTCAAACTCCTAGTATTGCTCACTGCCAAACGATAATTGTTAATGTACTTTTTTGGATACTTTTAGGCACGACTGTTTAGGAGCAATGACTCTATATAAAGGTGTACCTAAATATTTACTGTATAGTTACAGGATCAAACAATTTCTTGAATAATTTGAACAAAGCCCGAGTAGAGATGACATTTACATGATTTGAATATATAGATGATTTTCAGACTAATTAAAGTAATTAAAATCTATAAGTTAGCACTGACGTGGTGGGTAGTTTTCTTCATATCTCGAGATTTTTTAAAAACATTCCCAGGATTTTAGCTACTAAGCTTTGGAAAAAGAACATTTTTACTGTAACGTCATCCAAGAAAAATTTCCATGAAACACATTTTTTTTCTTTTACATATGATTTTTTCATTTGATAAACTATTAAATACCTAACTTGCATATTTAAAAATACTACGAATTTTATTACATTTTATTACAAGGATGAATGTATTGATAATGCTTTACATGCAAAAACGTGGTCTTTTTTTACATATTTAACTACACTTATTGTAATGACATTACGGAGTAACTGAAACGTTGTACAAAAATTTAAGACAGATCAAAGTACCCATGTTTCATATTATTAATTATCATAATTGATACTTGATTTGACAAAATTTAAACTAGAACTTATTTTTTTTTTTTTTTTTTTAAGATGCTAAAAAAAAAAAAAAAAAAAAAAAGGGGGGGGGTATACCTATTATACACCCATACGTTATACAGGGGACGACGAGAACGATGATAGTCGCCATCGTCGAAAATTAATTACACGCGCCACCGTTTAATGGCGAACGCGTTCGCGGAATCTAATTACACCCTCGGACTTGTGTACCATATTATATATACATACACACGACTCGCGTTTAACGATTTGAGCCGCGGAGGAGATGATTCGTTGCGGGTATTATTATGTACCTTCTCAACAACGATGACCAAAGCTACGTGTATATTTATATGGTGTACGTATACATGCAATTTTGATGTTTATTGCATTTGTTACACCGAGTCGTACCGAGTGATGTTGCTGTTGTCGTGTACGTATGCGCCGGAATGATGAAATATACCCTATCATCGGTTGTTGCGTTCGTAGTATACATTATGGGCTTGTCTAGCAAAGTTACTATTGTTATTATTGTTGTTGTGCACGGCGTATTATTACGTGCACAGTTCGCTGTGGACCGTAATCTATTTCGTTTTGTTTCGCATCGACCGAAGTGGCGGTCGATCAAAGTCAACCACAATGACATGAGTGCACGGCAACTGAAATAAATAAATAAACCCTCGCGACACAGTCGAGGGTGTTAATTTTCATAAGCCACACGTCAATGCGTCCACGAGTCACCCAACCGCATGACCATAGACCGAGAGTATCCGCAATATCCCGAATGATCGGTATGATGCCGATTTCACGGATATACCACTGTTACAGCCAACGCCCGTGGGTATACGAGCACGTGGCGTGTAATGTGCATCTGTGCTCTCTCTTCCCCGATGTACAACGTCCACGTGGGGTATTTCAAGGCCGCTCGGTTGACTCGGTCCTTTGGATTCCATCGAAGCCTTGGCGCGCGAGCGAGTATAGTATAATGTATAGCCACCACGTCCTTTTTATACGTATACGTACACAAGTGTGGTAACACGCATACCCTGCCTCTGTGTGGTTGTTTGCGAATCGTGGCCTTTGGAGGGATTCTTTGGTGTTCGACGACGACCAGGACGAGGATTTTCTTTTTTTGTGGGTATAGACAAGGGGTATATAAGTATCCAGGCGATGGTAAATCGAGAAGTGTACTACATTATAAGTATGTAATATGCGAGAAAAAACTTGTTAATGATAATCAATTGATTTCACCCATTTTATTCTCTGACATACGTAGGTATAGTTACCCGCTGTATATTGAATTTCATTATCATTTTTCCCGTGTATGTACATGATATGCATATAGGTGCATAACATAGTTTTGGTACGTAATTCTGTACTGGAATTCAATATTACGAATTACCGAAACGTTACGGAGTCGGTTGTCAGAATGTAAAATCAAATTGCGTGGAAACGGAGATCTGGGATTTCATTCATTTATGTATGATACACAAGACAAAAATTACGAGAAAAAGTGCTGAGTGGAGCCGAAGTTGAAGAAAATATTTCTAACAAAGTGTGTACTTGAAATAACGATGATAAAGAGGGACAAGAAAATGACATCGTGATGGATAAAAGTAATAGAAATAAACATTATACCGAGACATGTATCGTCTTACAAGTGAAATTACAATCTATGGTTTGTACATATTTGTACATGAGCCGTGTCCTTTGCAGGACCACCTGTACGTTGGATTTTTTTACCCAAACTCTTCCTCCGAAATCGCCCAAGTGCCCAGTTTTTCCGAGATAAAAGAACAAAAGTCTCCGACCGCAACAAATCTCCCGCAATTACGTTCGGAATCTCTCTCTCTCGGCTGCACACCCCAGAGCACCTATATACGCATTCAATGATACCCCGGCGCATCAATTCGTTCTACCCCTCTCCCTTTCGCTCTAACGAGACGACGCGCCCGTAAACGTAATACCCTCTTCTCTCTTACGGGCCGTCATCGTCATCACCGCCGCGGTAAATTCTCGAGAGCGCGGTGTATTATATCCCCGCGTCCATCCTCCTCCTCCTCTGCGCTTGTTTTTTTACGTGTACGTATACACCTCCGTACGGGTGTAGCGGCAAAAATACATTCCTGAGGTCGAAATCCGATATCGCTTTTCGCGACCGTCGATGCTGCGCGCAAAAAGGGGATCTCGGGAGGGGGAAGGAAAAAAAAAGCGCGTGCATCGGGCGATCAATTTTCATTTCGTTGCGCCGCGCGACGGCACGGATGCTCCCCTATTTTTTTTTTTTTTTTTGCTCGCGTTGGAAAAAGCGAGAGTATGCCTTACGGTCGATGCTGCGGTCGCGTCTTAACGAGGAAGAAGTGCCGCGTGGCGAAAAATTGAATAAGACCAACTCTCTCTCTCTCTCTCGGTCTTTGCCTGTGCTTTTTTCACCCAAGAGCACAAAATTGATGATCGCGAAGGCATTTATCTTTCGCCACCATTCTGTGACTCCCACCAGACTGTACATAGATGAGGGTAGAAATGCTATACGTAAAGATTTTTCGAGTCTTGCTAACTTTTTGGAGGCGCGAGAGGACGAGTTTCCTGGGCTTTGTTGTGCTGTCGATGAGGCTCGACTTTTTTTTATTGCTGCCTTTACAGAATAGCAGCTGTGAAACTTTTGAAGTAAGTTACCCATACCAACTTACGCAAAGGAGCTCATTTTAACCGGCCGCCCTTTGAAAATTTACTCCAAAAGCTGCTCTTAGAGTGACCTGAATGAAACTCAATGTCCCGGGACAATAAAACAATCATCTACTATACTTTTACATTTAACTTCTGTTTTTTATTCAACCATATCTGTGATAACTTACATGTAGTATTGTAACATCTTTAAGTTACTGCAAGTAAAAAATTTTAAGTTACTTATACCCTTGAAAGATCATATTTGATCATATGATTCCTGAGGAAAAAATCATCGAACTATGAGGCATGCTTTTGCGCTCTAGATGATTTTTGATAAAAATTTTGTTATCGTTATTTGGCGAAGAAAAGGTATAGCTACTCTAATTTTCTTTTTCCGGGGGAGTGCAGAAAAAAGACGATAAAACGTCGTCGTGGGGGTAAACTCGTTCCTCGTCGCTCCGCAAGACGCCATAAGCCTGAAAGCTTTTCTACCCTTTTGCTTCTCGCTTGGCGAGGCGAAAACCGCGAGAAATCATTACTTACTGTTCCTGTCGGACCGTAAAACTCGTAAGAGTCCACGTATCCAATCACGAACGACACTGCATGAATGAAATTTTCTGAGACAAGCATGTGGCCTTTTTATGCTTTTTCACGTCTACTACTTATTGGAAAAAATAATACTGACGATTTTTCGATGGAAGATAAGACAGAAGCTGCTCAGTTTTTAAAATTATTTCCAATTGAAACGGCAAAGATACGAACGCTCCCTCATATATTTTTTCTTTCCTGCCTTCCATTTATGCCAGTGTGTGTGTGTCTCTTTGTGAGTTAGCCTCGATCAAGCGGTGGTACGAGAAAGCCGAAACGGAAAACTACGAGTAAGAGCCGATCGAATATCTCGGCACAAGAGATACGGGATTGACGGAGGCTCGACGCAATTATAGTCTCTCTCCTCTTCGCTTGTACGTCCTCCCTACTCTCTTCGTTCCGAGAAGCTTAATGGATCAGTAGAATCTTCGTGGGTTGTGTATGTGTGTACGGTATATACGTGCGTTGTCTGATGCTTTTCTGTTATCTCCCAGCTCATATACATACGATTTTAGCCCGCGTGTGTATATAGTATGGAGGACAAAGCTTTTGATTGTCACGTATACCAGAGCATTGGCTGTGTGGTTCCGTCAAAGGGGGAGCGTTAAAAGGTCAAAGTGCTCAAATCGACGAGGTTTCGCCAACAATATCATTTTCATGGTTCCGAGAAAATCTTATCGAGTATTATTGATCTTCGTGTGGTCCACCGATTGATATTTATACATTTTTAACACTTTTGTCCATCCACAATAATGTGTATGTCATATAATACAGTATAGTACATATTATATTTCATGTACAGTCACTATATTAATTTTTTTGACTCATCGAAAATTTGGCATGTTTTTTTATTTTTTTTATTTCTTGCCTTCATAATGAAATTTAATTCACAATAGATTATCCGACCCGATGAAAAAATCAATCAAAAAACCTATCAATGTTTTTCACCTTGTGTATACGAATATATTCAACCCCTCCATCAGACTCTTTTTCTCTGCTCCTACTTTGTTGTGAATATCGAAAATGTTGTCGTTGCTTGTACATAATTATTTTACCTTACTCCACCTATACTATATTGTCTAATCCATCCCTCGAAAAGTGCCCTTCAATTAGACTCAAGTACACAATTCAGATAAAGAAATTCAAGAGTGACCCAGAATCGAAGCCAAACTAAATTTTCGTACACACACACACACACACATATATGTAGGTGGCGCATAAAGGCACTCCCTGAACTTTGGCCCGGCTCTTGCAAATTCAATTTCAACTCCACTCTCGGCAACTGCTCTCTCGCGCGCGGGTGAGAGAAAAAAAAAAAAAAAAAAAAAAAAGAGGAGGAGGGCCGGGGGAAGAAACTTAATGAAATTGCAAATTATAACCTCACGACGCGCTAAACGAACGTAATTACGACGCCAAAACCGTACAGCTGTGGCCACGGTCTCGTTAATAATCACCCGCGCGCCCCTACAAACAACGTCTCGGTGCACACACACACACACACACACACAGCCACACGTGTCTCGCGAACAATCAAACGCCATCATGCACCGCATGAAAATAATTTAGTATCCCTGTGTGGTCCATGACACTTATGGACTCCAAAATATAGCTCTCTCTCTTTCCCTCGCTTAATGGCTATTTAATGAGCTCCCTCGCGTGCGATTCGAGTCAAAATTTTGCCGCGCGCGTACATTACGCAATGGCAAATTCATGCGCGCCCGTGCATTAAACGTACCTGTACCTCTTGGTCGATGTATACATATATATATATGTAGTTGAGGGGCGTTTTAGAGTCCCTGGCAGTAGCCAAACTGCGGCGGCCTGATGATGCTGGGGGATGAGGGGCACGTAATGAAAATTCGAGCCGGGGGTTTAATTAAGGGCCGCAGTTGTCCCGTGACCGAATGACTGACCGCAGAGAGTGGAAGTTGACTAGTTTGTACATAGTCGCAGTATATATATATGTATACATCGCACGAGATTGCATTGCTGCACGGGGATATCGAGATATTACTTGATATATACGCGGGTATTGTGGTTTGCAGGACACAATATGCCTTTTCTCTACACCTTGTATTGTACGCAACTACATGTTATGAGTTACGCGGTCATTGAAACGAGGCATGTGAGTATCAATATGTATAATCACCCATTGTTTTCGGTGCAAAACAAATTTTAAAGCTAATGCACAAGGCTGGCCCGAGTTTTTTCCATATGGTATATTCGAGTGTATAGCGATCAGTGGTCGTATCAAGTTACAACTTCGTGGGGGGAGGGAAGTGTTTTTTTTTTCATTTTATCCACCCCATGGTTTTATGGAAGGTAAATAATGAGTAACCAGTACTTAAAACCGTAGAAATAGAATAATAAAATGTTTTTTTTTTTTTTTTTTAAATATCTATCCCAGTATATAAAAGAGGAAGCAAGTTTAATTTGAAATCCCCTGTACACACAAATGCGCGGCTGAATTCGCACTCACGTAGTAACACGTATGCGTTGTGTTCGTGCACGGCCAGGTATTATATTTTATGTACTAATGGAGATCGAGCACGAAAGTTGGGGACGCGCACATATACTCTCTTGCCCCACAAGTTCATGAATATTTTCAGCACCCGCGCCCGTCCTGTACATATATATACCTCCTCTACATAAAAACAGGACGTGTACTTGTATAGCACAATAAGCTCGTCCACCGTGCATTTTTTATCACTACCAGGCGCTCGACTGGCAAATGACTTTTATGCTAATGAATTGTCAGCGCGTGTATATATATATGTATAATGGTATACTGTATATGTACCTGCTAGGCATTCCGTTTATAGTTTGGTACCTACCCCTTTTTTCCTCCCACCAAAGATGCGAATCTATGTATAAAAGGAATTCCCCCCTTCTTGCTTCGAGTTCAAGTTTAATACCTTCGCCTTTGCCTTGGACTTACGCTTTTGCTGTAATTTCTCGTCCTACGGCCTTTGTACAGCTCCTCGTCCTCTTACATATTTATATGGCACCAAGGCCGGGACGACGATATAGCCGATCATCGATTGATTCTCGCCAATATATATATATGTATATGCGTATAAGAGGTCACCTTCGGTCGTTTTATTTTAGACCAGCAGAATGAGACAAACAGAGCCGTGTTGGTCAAAGCTCGCTTTTTCGCCGGACCTCGTGCTTGATAATTCAAAGCGATGCGTACGAAAATCGCCCTCTCGTTCATATACTAGGCCATCGAGTATCGGAAGATGCTGCCCGAGGAGGATCAATGGTCCACAATTGGATGTAACGAGTGTGTCCTGCATCGATTCCGTGCTTTTTTCGGAGCCGAAGAAAATATAGCATACAGTATACAGTATACGCCACAATTATCTCCTATCAACGCTGTTAGGTCGCTCTTGTATACATGTACTATAGTGTAAATAATGCATGTGCCATATTTGCTCGATTCGACTCGATGAGGATTCGATCGATCCGTCGAGGGTACGGTATTATAGTGTAACGTATTGTATATAATTACGTACATACTTAAGATTTAGTACGTCACCGATACTCTCAGCCGAATCATCATCATCGGTTGAACATTTTGACCATCTCCGTGTCATTTTTACCTTTGACAAATTCAATTCCCCACCCACGCTCCAACACATACACACACCAACACTTGCTCGATTTAGAATAAAAAAGGAAAGGCATCAAAGGAGTTTAAAGACTAACATTTTGGCATTGTTTGTCCGTTGTTGCAGTTACCAGTGGGCGGGGGCGGTGCCGTGCTGGTGCTCAGCGAACTTGAAAGCATGGCGGCCCGGCAGCAGCGGGAGATCGCCCAGCAGCGCCGACTCCTCGAGCAGCGCGAGGCCCGGCTAGCCGTGCTCCGGGGCGCTCAGGTGAGTTTTTTCGTAATATATACGCTCATGTACAACAACAACAATGATAATATCATAACACGTTGACTCTTTTTTACACCTCCTTTGTTGTTCAACGACTGCCGGTGTACACCATAGGTATGTTGTATCTATATATATTAGCAGCTTCCTCAACGAAACTGAGACTTGCGTTTCCGGCTCGGCTTACTGGCTTTGTAACCCCTTCCCCCTCCCCTTGGGCACTTGGCGGATGCTTTAGAAGCTGTAAATGACACTTTGTAGTCACCCCTGCCCCCTCACCTTCTCTTTCCCCGAGAGTAGCGCGTGCTTTGCTTCGTGTTGGTTTTTTTATTTTTATTTATTTTTTTTTTTGAAAAATTCATACTTTTGCATGTAAACTAATACATGAAAAATCTCGTATCCGTTGCTTTTTATTTTAGAAACAAATGGAATTTTCGTCGCGAGATTACAGGCTTGTGCGTTGACGTTTTTTTTTCACTGTCAATAATATACAGGAGATACTGTCACTCATGCAATCGCTAATTCAACTAGACATATATGTTCCTCTCTTGCGTACAAAATCATGGAATTGAAAAAATTGCGTAATTAAAATGTGTTAAAATAATTTTTTTTTTTTTTCAGATACAGGAATATTAAATTTGTGGAAGAAAAAAATATCGTGCTTTCGAATAAATTTTAATAAAATACGAGATCGCGTATACTGAAAAACGGTACGATTTAATGTTTACGC